TGGTGGTGCGCTTCCGGGGCGAGCGCCCGGCACCCACGGGCGGGAGCAGCTGGTCCAAGGCCTCGGGGTTGCTGCTCAGGGAGCAGAACGTGCTTGCCTGTGACACGCCCCTCCGGGCGCACAGGCACAGCCAGGGCTGCACACCAAAGCCGCTGGCCACCCGCCACCCACTGGGCCCGCAGCCTCAGTCAATGTTCACACAAGTTCCCAGCCACAGCAAACCACGAGAAAAGTGTGTGGGAGTGCTGTCCACGCTGAGGGCGGTTTGTGGACGGATGCAGGAGGGGGACCTGGGCTAGGAGACCCATGGGGAGGGCCCTTTGAACTCCAGGGAGGAGGGTGGAGGCCCCACAGCCTGCAGGGTGGACACTCAGTCTGGGGAAGGCAGACAGCATCTGGCCAGGCCAGGCTGCCAACAGGACTGCCGGGGCCAACCTGCTGACCTCTTTGTCAGTAGCACCCTGGAGGGTCTGAAAACTGGCCTGAGGCCCGAAGCCCAACAGGGTGGCCTCAGGGGGACCCCGGATGGCTCAGGGCCTGCTCGACACCCACTTGGGAAAGGGCCGAGGTGGATGTGGACATGACTGGTGTCCTGGACGTAGGTTGGTGGGAGTAGCAAATGCTAAGGCGTCTATGCAGAAACCGGCCAGCAGGCAGGCCGCCTGCACACCCTTCAGGAAAGGGTGTGAGAACAAGGCGCGTGTGCCGGGAGCAGATGCCCGGCTGGGACCACCCTGGGCAGAGGTTAGGGACGAGGGGTCTGTCTGGCCAGACCATCTCATGGGCACTTGCCCTCTGCTCCCAGCAGCAGGGCCAGGCTGCATCGGCCTCTGAAGCTTGCTGCCTGGCCGTCGCCGCCGCAGCCTCACGTGTGTGGGGAGGGCATGCAGGGAGTGAACTGAGGCCTCACACATGACAAGTCACACGGGCAGCTGCCAGGGCACAGACGTCCATGTCCACACACGTGTGAGCCTCCCCAAGGCCAGCCGGCACATCTGACAGGAGGCTCACAGCACCGTCCTGGGGGACAGAGAAGTCGCCGGGGCAGTGGGGCGGCAGTAGTTAGCAGGTCTGTGTGCCGGGTGCTCGGTGGCATCTCTGCGGGGATGGCAGTGACCTTCCACGTTCCGCTCAGAGCCAGTGCTGACGTTCGCAGTGGGGCTGAGCGCACACGCTGGGTGCAGAGGTGTGTGGGTGGTGAGGCGGGCTGGGGACAGGACGAGGTGCCACCACTGACCGTGAGCGTGTGGGGCACTCAGCCTGCATGGACCAGCTGCCCGCCGGTATGCCCACTCAGCACAAGGGGGCGGACGGTGTCCGCAGGTCCCAGTCAGAGGACAGTGCCAGCAGCTTCCCTGGACGCCTGCCCAGGAGGCTGCCCGACCACACACCCTGGCAACGCAGGAGGCGCCGTCCCAGCAGCATGGGAGCTCCGAGGGGTATGCAGGCCCCTCCTCTCTGAACCCGCTCTTGGCAAGGAAGCCCCACAGGACAACGGTTTGCCAGGGGCCAGCCCACACGGTGCCCCCGAGGACCTGCAGCTCACACCGCTCCCAGCTCCCCACTTCTCATCTCAGGCAGCAGGCCCTGCAGTGGGAGCCTTGGGGTCCCCCCATGGGAGCGCCTGGTCCTCTGAGGAAATGACTGTCCCCCTCAAGGACGACTGTGGGCCGCTGCTGCCAATGTCTGAGGCAGACAGCTTCCCAGGGAAGCGGAGAGTGGGCAGGGTGGCTGTATTAGAGGTCTATCCACCTTGGATATGGGGGCCTAAGAGGTGTTAGGCTGGGTTGTCGGCCAGGCCCAGCCCCTTGGCCTCATCCACGGCCCAAGCCCGTCTCTCTGGGAGCCAGGACATGGCCTCTCCCTCCCGAAACCCTCTGGGTAAGCCTCGCTCCCTAGTCACAAGTGGGACCAGCTTCCAGGTAAGAAACTGCACAGGAGACCTCGCTTCCCTGGTTCCAGATGGACAGGGCCTCTGGCTACATGGCAAATAATTTCAGCCACGGGATCTGGTCCCCAGTGAGAGACCCCTGCGGTGAACAGCAACCCCTCCCCCCTGCAAAACCAGGGCCTGAGGGTGGCGGACCTGCCCTCCCAGCACCTGCCTGGCCCAGCTGTTTCCTGACGCCCATTATACACGGCACACAGAGCACAGAGGCAGGAATCCACCTTGTCCTGGCGAAGGCAGGTCTCTCCACCGCAGCCTTGGAACAACAGGCCGGCCACTCACCTGCCTTCCGCTCCAAGGGCCCAGCAGCTCGAGATCCTGATGCCAGAGTAAGCTGGGGGGCTGCTCATGACTGGAGCATGGGGGGGTGGGGATGCAAGGCGCTTGCAGGGGCACCAGCGCAGGGCCTTAGGCCCACAGTGGCCCCCCACGGCAGCTCAGCAGGCATCTGAACTGTCCCTCCATAAGGGACTGGCAGAGGCTGCTCACTAGGAAGCAGGGTGCCAGCCACTGGGAGGCCCCGTGAGGCCCTGGTCACAGCCTCACCACCAGCCCAACACGGAGGTCACAGGCATAAGCGGATCACCCGGCTGGGGGCTGTGCAGTCGCCGATATTAATAGCTCTGACCCCGCTGGAGAGCAGGCCAGCCATGGGTGTGAATTGTCCTTTGCTGCTGGGGCTGGCGCACTGCCACTCCACCCCCTGCCGGCTTGCTGGGACCCCCATGCACCCCCCCCCCCCAACACCCTGCAGAGAGCTCCAGACCCCTGGCCCGCCTGGGGCTGCAGAGCCAGCCGCCCCAGCATCACGGGGGAACCTGACATGTGTCTGGGCTGAGCTGAGCTGAAAACGGGCTGAGCAGGGTGTCCCACCCCCGTCCCTAAGGTGCCTCCTAGAGGCATAAACAAACCTGAAACTCTACCCTCCAGAGCAGCTGAGGGGAGCTGCTGGCCCCGCCCCTCCACAGCCCGGCTCCAGCACATCCCCCAAGGCCACCCAGTGCTCCTCCTGGGGCCTGCGTGTAGCCATTCCCCAGCCTGGTGGGAGGAGGAAGAGACTGGGGAGGGTGGCCAGCTACAGGATCCATCCGCAAGTCTACAAAGGGGTGTCCCCCCACAGGCCCCAGAGTCCCCCCTGCAGTTGGTCCACCAAACGTCAGCCTGTCTGCTCTCTTCCCAACTCAGCGCTGGGGCTGGGAGAGCCTAGCCCTTCACGCATCGGAAGGGGGCCTCTCTCCTGGCTGCCCAGGTAACACAGGTGTGTGTCTGCAGAGGCACCTGGCCCCACGGCCTCCACACCTGCCTGACAACCTGTGTGGGGTTAGGGAAGCCTGCTGTTTGCAAGGGTGGGGGAAGTGGGAGGAGGTGTTGGGGGAAGGTAAGAGCTGGCTCACCGGAGCCAGGCAGCAGGGTCCCAGACCGGCTCGGGGACAGAGGTTTCAGGGTGGCTGTCTTGGGGCAGGTGCGGGAATGGGAACCCCACCCCCTGGCAGCAACCCTCCTTCTGGCTGCTCTGGGTCAGCCCCCCTGCACCCCCCAGCTGAAGCCCCGACTCCACTGGACCCAACCGGGAGACAGCCTGAGGCCACCACTGGAGCCCGATCAGGGGCAGTGCGGGGGAGTCCTTGGCACCAGCACTAAGGGGTAGTGGTGAGCAGAAGCAGCGACAGGGCAGACCCCTGCTGTACACTGGTGCCCATAGCCCCGGGGCCCCCTCCTCTGTGCGCAGGGCAGGGCCCAGGCAGTGGCTGCCGCCCGCATCTCCCGGGACTTGCCTAGCTTGGCCTCTCTGATCCCGGGCTAACCCAACGGCTTTTTGGGACCAGCAGGTGTCACTGACTCAAGGCCTATTAGGTCCTGTCCTCTGGCAACAGGCTCCCAGTCTGCTCATTGGGAGTGTGTCAGCCCAGGACACAAGATGCTCCTTCATAGCCAAGGCAGCCTCTTACCGCGTGGAACTCCTGCCCTCCACTTGTCAGTGTGTGGCACCCTTCCTTCTTCTCTGGGCTTCACTCTGACGGTCCTGGAGGAGCCCGGGGACTGAATGTCCGGGGACCAGGAGCCCGCGCTGGGACCATGGTTTACTTTGGAGCCCAGGCCGGGCCATCCCTGACTTCCCCAGGGGACAGCGAGGACCCGGCCTCCCCGCTCTGCTACGGCCGCTGGTGGCGCTGGCCCCGGAGGCACGGAGCTGAGCCCGTTTCCTCTCGCCTGTTTGTCTCCCCAGCCAGGGAGACAGGAGGCTCCTCCCCCACTGCACCCCCACAACGTCCCTTCTTGCAAAGCCGCCACCGAAGCCTGGAGGGTGTCCCCCTCCAGGTGGGACAGAGGGGGCCATGCACCACCCCTAGGATCACGACCTCTGACTTCTCGGTGGGGCGGGGGCGGACTCCAGCACGAGCTGCCCTCCTCAGAGCGTCAGGCGCGCACACACTGCGGCCCCCGTGCCCGCAGCCCCGTCCACTCGGGACAGAAACCAAAGCTGACCTCGGGGTGCAGAACGCGCTCCGTCCGCCCAGCCCCGGCTCGGCCCCCGGCCCTCCGGGGACAGCCCAGCGCGACCAGGGCACCAGTGTGCCCGGCCACAACCCTGCAAGGCGCACGGCGAACGGGCTGGGGCGGGGGCCGCCCCTCCCACCCACCCCCGGGAGGGGCGTGCGCGACCCCGGCTCTCCCTCGGCCGCCACGCCTACCGGTCCTCGCCCGCGGCCTCGCTCTTCGCTACAGGCCGATCGGTCCTGTCTCCTGCCATCGGGGGCGCCGGAGGTGTGCGGGGGTCTTCGGTGGAGGCCGGGGGCGCAGCCATGGAGCTCCGTGCCCTCCGCGCTGGGCGAGTAGGCGGGGTGAGCCGCACAACCCGCCGGGAGCCGTAGTTCCGGCCTCTTGCCCTGTACGCCCACCGGCGCGCTGCGAGGACTACAGGTCCCACAAGGCCTTGCGGCCAAACAACCCCGAAATCAGAGTAGGGCGGTCAGGCCGGGTGTGGGGTTTCGTCCGCCCAGGGAAGGACCCCACCCCGCGTATTATCACAAACTTAGCCGCACACAACCCCTGGAAAAAAGGCAATAAACGTTTATTTGATACAGTATTTTTTAATACATACAGTTGATGGCCTGCCCCTGTGCCACTTGGGCCCAGGGGCAGGGACGAGGACCAGGGACAGATGGTCACAAGGCGGGCCGGGCCCGAGCTTACCGTCAAAACATCTTGCAAATAAACACTTTGTAGATAGAATATATATGTATATTTATGGTTACAAGTGATAGCTGGAGCCTCTCTTTCAAAATGCACTTATGTACGGAGAACTGGCATTTAAAAAACCAAACCAAGAAACCCAAAGTACAAGACGCGTGGCTGTCAGGCCAGAGGTGCAAGTCGGTCCCCTCGAACACTCCCACCCCCCAAGCTCCAGGACAAGCCTCCTGAGGCGGGCAGAACGAGGACCCACAGGGGTCAGCCCTGCCCTCCGTGGGTCAGGGTGCACCGGTTCTTTCCCTTCTGAACCAGAGGAAAGGTTGGGGGGGTCGGGGATGGGAGCTATGGCTGGGAGGGCCACTGGTCACACCAGGAGACACCCTCATCTGCCTTTGCACAAGCAAATAAAGTGCATCCTATTTCTGTGTGAAGTGTGGGCCCCTTGAGCCAGCCCCTTCCTGTTCTCAGGACAAGGGGGGTGGGCTAGGCCAGAGGTAGATCTTCAGAAGGGGACTTGGCATTATGTCCTGGGCTTGGGTCCCAAGCAGGGTCCTCGCCCACTGAGCCCTGGAGTCTGCCACTCCAGTCCCTTACTGAAGGTGTCAGTCAAGGCCCTGCAGACCAGCTTGCCATGCCGCTCACCAGGAAGCAGGGAGGGAGGAGGGGGGACGGGGGTCCAGCCCAGTAGCCGGTTTTGGCAGCAGCCCCACACCCACTTTAAAGACAAAGAAGGGGGTTAAAGTGCTAAACATCAAGTTACCCAGGACCCCACCTCCTCCCATACATCTGGCGGGTTCCCACACCGGGGACCATCTGTGGACTTCGGAGGGTGACCTGGAAATACCCCCCAGCAAAGTCTAGCCCCCTACTCCCCAAGGGCCAAGTACCTGAGAGGCCGGGGCGGGCAGCTGTCCACCCAGCAGAGGTGTTGAGGTCTGACCTCCCCCAGCCATTGGTGACAAAGACAGAGCAAGTATACCTGGGGGCTGCTGTCCACACCTGCTCCTCCTCCCCTCCTGGGGCCACCCCTGAGGTGGCCACCTGACCCCGCCTCTACCAGCCGTGCACCGCGGTGACTCCCAGAACCCAGGGAAGAACGCCCTCCTGCCCTGCAGCCCAGCCCGTGCTGCCCTGCCTTGACTCTGACTCCGGATCCCACCTGCCTGCCCACGGCTGTGAGTGGGGCACAGCACACCTCTCTGCCCCCCCCTTCAAACGCCAGGCCCTGGCTGCCCAGAATCAGAGTCTCTGGACAGCCAGAGAGAAGCAGCTCAGCCTCCCGGCCCCCCGGCCCCTGGAGTCTGTCCTCCTACTGCAGGGCCAGGAGAGGGGAGCCCAGCTTGGTGCCCCTCCTCTCCGGGGCTGGGTGAGGACAGCAGCTTGGGGTGCAGGGGGTGCCCAGTGGGCGCTGCCTCCCTGAGCAGGGGAGGGACCCCAGGGACCCTGGCCCAGCCCCCAGACCCAGCATCGGCACCAGGAAACCCTTAGCACCAAAATGTCAGATTGTTGTAAGTTTTTGTATAAAAAACAGAATAAAAAAAGGTTGTTACTTGTCACAGGAACAAGACTGGCACCCACGACACACCCAGGAGACACACGCACACGGGCAAATATCAAAATTCACATCATCCAGGATCGGCAAGGCCGCGCCCTCAGCCCCCCACCCCCCTGTGGAGAACAGCCTGCAACCAACCCCAGCAGCTCTGAGCGTCCTCACCCCCCGGCAAGGTCACAGCCGGAAGCAGGGCCCGGGGAGGAGGCCAGAGCTATTGGCTCACTCCTCCAGGCACGCTGGACTCCAGCCTGAACCCTGCCCAACCTGCCACCTAGCCATCCTCAGGGCCCCAAAGGGAGCCAAGACAGCCCCCAGCTCCCATCAGCTCGCTGAGCTTAGCCAAGCCCCCTCCCAGGCCTTCAGCTCTCCTATGAAAAGACCACAGCTAGAACCAGAAACGAAGGGGCAGATACAAAGGGGTAGGGGCTCCCGAAGGAACCCAGGCAGACAGAAGGCTGCTTCCTGCAGGGGCCACTCCTCAGAGCTGGGCCCAGCCCCGTGCCCTGCATGCCCACAGCCCCAGGGCGGCCCCAGCACCCAGACTGGCCAGTCTCTAACCTATCAGGCTGCCCCAACCAGCTCAGTGTTCGGCTGAGCTGGAGCAGGCTCAACGTGGCCCCAGCTGCTGCAGCCCTGCCCGTGGGCAAACCAGGGGTCCTCGCTTGCCGCAAGCAGGGAGCACCACGGGGATGGCAGGGAGCCCGCAAGGGGGGCCGCTGCCCCCACCAGGATGGGCACAGGCCAGTGGGCACGGGCTCAAGCACGGCAGCAGTCACACCGCGGGGCAGGGGGTGGGCCTGCAGAGGTAGAGAGCAGAAGCGGAGGAGCCAGAGGCGGGGAGGGCGAGGAGCACGGACTGGCAGGTCAGCACGGCAGCGATTAGACTCGGGGTCTGTCCTGGGAGGTAGCTGCGGGTGCTGGGGTTCCAGTGTTGGGGAGAGAGGCCAGGCTGCTCGGGCACCCTCATCAGCCCAGAACCAGGGACCCCCGAGCCTTGGGCTTGAGGAAACAGAAAGGGCACCTGGCCGCTATGCAGCGCCCCACAGCCCCGGGCCCCTGCCCGTCCCTCCAGGCCATTGCACTTCTGTGGCTGCCACAGGCCCAGTGTGCCCAGTAGTGGCCCGCACAGGGAAAGGGCCGCCTTCAGGAAGCGGAGTGGGGCTGGCTGACCCCACTGGACAGAGGGGTAGACGGGCGAGGGTGTGAAACTGGAGGGCGGGACGTCCTAGAGCTCCCTACCCCACCCTGGACAAAGGAGGGCTGGGCCAGCGTGGGGACTGGGCCCCACCCACCTGCCAGCCACCATGCTCACTTCTCGGGCGCCTTGCCAGCTCCCACCTTCCGGCCACTGGAGCCCCGGGCCCCCTTGTCTCTGCCTCCTGGGGGCCAGTCATCCTGGCGGGGGGGCGTCTTGGGCGCAGACTCCTCGGGGGGCCGCTCCTTGGGCTTGCGGCCCCGCTTCTTCCCGCCGACCACACTCTTCTCCTCCTTCTTGGGCGCCAGTGAGTCCTGGCTCCTGTGTTTGGGGGGCAGGTCTGCTGAAGTCCGGAACCAGTTCTGGGAACAGAAGAGCAGCAATGGGGGCCTGGGATGGGGAGGTGGGGGGCAGCCCTGGAGGGTCTTGGCTCTCCCGGGGACGCTGGAAGCCACCTTGGGGAGAAGCTTCCAAGTCTTCCGATGTTGGCCACTCACTCAAACAGGACCCCCTGCTCTGCCCCGGCTCCGCGTCCTCCAGGGCCACCCCGCCCCGCCACAGTGCCCCCCGCAGCAGGCCCCAGCCACCCACCTCCGCGTGAGCCTTGAGGATGTGGTACTTGACGCCGCTCTCGGAGCCGAACTCCTTTGGGCACAGCAGACAGCAGTACTTTCCCACCAGGTGGTCTCCCTGCAGGACACAGGCAGCCCGGCCTCCGGTGTCGGACCAGACCCCCACCCCCACCCGCAGCGACAGGGTACAGCGGCCACAGCATAGCTGGCCGGGTCAGGGCGCTCACTGTACCCCAGAGAGGAGGAACCCTTGTGGGCAGGACGACTTGGGACTGACTAACCCATGGCTAGGGCTGGGGACGGCACCACGTGCCCTGCACACGGGGGCCCCTGGGGGACTGCCTGCCACAGTGGAGGCAGAGGGCCCGGGGCTCACCTTGCTGCAGCTGGCCAGATGGGCCTTGAGGCCGGACACGCTGGAGTAGATGGCTTCGCAGCACTGGGGCGGGAGACAGCCATGGGCAGGGCCTCCCGGCAGATGCTCGGCCCCCAGCCCAGCCCAAGGACACTGAGCCTCTCTGGGCAAGTCAGTGGGGAGCCCGGGAGCCCTGGGGTGTGGGCAGGCTGGGCCTCCGGGGCTGAGGCGGAGGCCTTCTGCCAGCAGGGCCCAGGGACCACAGGCAGCCTGGCCACTTGGCTCCCACCCAGGGTCACGTCTGGGTCCTCTGCCCCTCAATCCCAGTGTCCCCACGCCCACTCGGCAGCCTGCCCTGGCTCACGTCATTGGGGCAGTTGACATGGCCTTTCTCTTTGACTTCGTTCTTCCACACCTCCAGCAGCTGGGGGTTGAGCGTGGGGAGGCCTGGCCGAGTGTAGTTGAGCTATGGAAGCAGGTGGGCGCTGGGGTAAGCCTCGGGGGCCCAGCCAGAGCCACCCCCGCTTCCCATGGAAGCCCTCAGCTGCACCCTCTGCAGGGAGACCCGGCCCCCAGGAAGTACGCAGATAGCCTGGGCGGGTGGGGGGGTGGTTAGGGCCATCGCGGGGGACCCCACGGGGGGCTCAGCGGCCAGGCCTCACCCGCGCCGTCTCGGGCACCAGGTCCTCCTTCATCCGTCGCTTGGTCCAGTCCCGGGCCAGTTCATCTTCCGCAATCTCTTGCAGATGGAACACTGCAACCTGGGCTGAAGTGCGGCGGACGCGGCCGCTGGGAGTCCGCTCAACACCCAACAGGTCCTCGGCCTCGGGGGGCTTGTCCTGGGGCTCCTCCAGGGGCTGCAGGGCACGACGGAGGCCGAGGTGAGTGATGGGAGCCCCAGGCCGGCAGGTGCAGGCCCACACGAGGAGGACACGCGTGCTCAGCGCCCGGAGGACAGGGGGCCTGGCCGCTCACCGGGGCCGTGTGCTCGGACCGCACGTGGTAGTCGTGGCCCGCCTTGGAGCGGTAGGTCTTGCCGCAGTGGGTGCAGGGGAAGGACGGGCTGTTCCCCTCGCCGGGCGGCTTCCCGCAGCGCCGCCGGTGGTACTGGTAGCCCATGAGGCTGGAGAAGGCGGCCCCACAGCCCTGGGGACCAGGGGGCGTTGAGAGGCTAGCGAGGGGCTGTGTGCCGCCCCACACCACCCCACAGCACCTTACACCACCCCCACACCCTAAGGGCCACACTGACCTCTTGGGGGCAGCGCAGCCGCCCCATCTGCTTCAGCACCTTGCGCAGACGCTCCCGCTCCTCCTGCTCGCTCCCCTCCGAGGCCTCGGTGTCAGAGGGCTGGGGTGCAGGCCCGGCCTCAGCGCTCCCGCACCCACAAGGTCCCAGCCCACGTTGGGACCTCGGGTGTCCGGGTGTCCGAGGGCAGGCTCAGCGTGCTGAGGGCTAGGCAAGCTGGGTGGGGTGAGGTGGAGTGGGGGCCTGGGGTCAAGGTCAGGGTGGGGCAGCTGGGCCCAGGCGTACCTTGGCACTGTGTTCGGCCATGGTGTGGTAGTTGAGACCAGCCTTGGACTTGAACTGCTTTCGGCAGTGCTGGCACTTAAGGGCGTCCTGCAGCTGCAGACAGGTGACCCATGAGAAGCTGCCCCACGGCATCTCCCCCCTGAAGCCCCGGGGGCAGCCTTACCTTCTGACACACCTCCATGTGCTTCTTGAGCCCCACCAGGGTCTTTCGGGTGACCACGTTGCAAGTGGGGCAGACGGCCTCCCCCCGTTCGTGCAGAGCCCGCTGCCACTGCTCCTCAGGGCCACCTGTGGGGAGGAGGCAGGGCCCAGGGTCCACACTCAGCACCCAGTCCGTGGGGTCCAGGGTTGGCCTCACAGCCAAGGCTGGCCCGCAACGTGCACCCCCCACAGTAGCCCCTACCTTGGGCTGAATGGGCCACAGGGGCCGTCACCTCCTTGCTGATGTTGCTGGTGGGGGGCGGCACCTTCTTCCGAATGTCCTCGGGACTCGGCCCCTCCTGCTTCTTGGCACGGTAGCCTCGGGCTTTGTCCTCCGCCTTGGCCAGGCCTGTGTGCACAGGCAAGGTGGCACAGGTGTGGGCGGCAGGCACAGGCACACCTGTGCACGAGCCCAGTCCCACAGGTGCCCACCAGCAGGGCCTCACCTTTGAGTCCAAACGTTCCTGAGATAGACGGCTGCTCCCCCGTAAACTTCTTGGGAGTTTTCTGTTTCCTTCCTGACTCGGGGGAGAGGAGACGGGGCCAAGACTCTGGTCAAGTAACCGTGGGGAGGCCGGCCACCCCTGCCCTGGCTGCCCCCCCCCCCCGTCTTACTGTGCTTCGTGCGTTCAGCCCCCTCCTCAGGCAGGGACGTGGGGCCTGTGGCCCTCGGCGCCTCCCTGCCCCCCAGGGGCCTGCTGCTCAGGGAAAGGGGGCCACTGCCGAGGTCCACGCCGGGCTGTCGGGCCGAGCCCTGGGCAGCGGTGGACGGGCCGCACTCCCCGTTCTCTGGCCTCGCCTGCTTGGGTGGGAGGGGGCAGCTGTCCAGGCCGTCCGCAGCCCTGCGGGAAGCAGGAGGTGAGGGGCCAGAGGGCGCATCCCAGGCCAGCACCCCAGCCCGCCCGGGACGGCACCCCTACCTTTTCTTCCCGCTGGCCCTCCCTGCGGCTCGAGGAGTTTTGTTCTCGGACTTGGTCAGCAGCACCATTTTGCAGGACGGCGTGTGCCTGCTGATGGCGATGGGCCTGCTGACCGTCACCAGCTTACTGACCACAATGGGTCTGCTGACCGGCACGGGCTTGGTGACTGTCACGAGTTTTGTCATCGGTACTGGCTTGTTTGCAGTCACTGGCCTGGTGACCGGCACAGGCTTGGTGACCGGCACGGGCCTGGTGACCGGTACAGACTTGGTGACTGGCACGGGCTTGGTAATTGGTATGGGCTTAGTGACCGGCACAGGTCTCGAGACTGGCATAGCCTTGGTGATCGGCACAGGCCTGCTGACTGTCACCGACTTGGTGACTGGCATAGGCCTGCTGACCGTCACGGGCTTGCTGATACCGATGGGTTTGCTGACACCCACGGGTTTGCCAATAGTGACAGGCTTGCTCACTCCGATGGGCTTGCTGACCCCCACGGGCCGGCTGATGGTGACGGGCCGGCTGACCGGCCCAGGCTTTGGGGCAGGCAGAGGCCGGTCCATGTGGTTCCAGATCTGGTGCTTCTCCAGCTGCGTCTTAGAGGTGAAGGCGGCCTCACAGAAGGGGCAGGGGAAGGTCAGCCTTTCGGAGATAGCGCCCTGGGTAGAGAGGGCAGGTGAGGGCTTGGCTGCCTGGGGCTCCGTGCAGACGCAGCCCAAGCTGGGGCAGGCCTCCTCCCTGACCCACGGCCCCTTACCCCCTGGCACCGCTGGTAATGGTACTTGAGTCCGTAGATGCTGGGGAACTCCAGCCAGCACCCTGAGTTGGGACACTGCACCCGTGAGTGCGCTTTGAACTCGTCTTTCCACTGGTTCATCAGGGAGAGCTGGCGTGGGAAAGGGGGGGCTGCTGACTGGGGCCCCGGCTCAACGCCCTGCCCGGCCTTCAGGGCCAGCGCGCCGTGAGGCCCCTCCACTTGGGCCTGCGGCGAGATCCTGGCCGCTCTGGGCAGCAACCGGGACCTGCTCTAGGGTCCCCACAGACATGGACCCCTGGGGCACATGGTGGCCCTGATGTGGGCTTGGTCCCGGACGTGCGGTGGCAGGCAAAGGCAGGGTGGCGGCCTCAGTAGGTGGGTCCCAATGCAAGCCCCACCCCAGCCCTCAGGGAGCTCACGGGAATGTCTCGGAGGGCCTGGTTCTCAGCTTTCGGGCGCCCCTTTTTCTTCCCTTCTGTCCTGTCGCCGGCTGGACTTCCCGGTTCGAAGCAGAGTGGGGCCTGGCTGGGCACTGTCTGCCCCCCTCGGGCTACCGGCAACCCTGCGGCACACAGTGCGCGTGGGGCTTGGCCCGGTGCGCCCGGTAGCCTCGCCTGCCTCCTAGGAGGCTGCGGTGAGCCTCGCGCCCCCGTGGCTGAGGCATGGGGGGTGGAAGGTTGTCAGCCCAGGATGAGAATCCAGGGTCCCTGGCTACCCCCACCCTGGGAAAGCTCTCAGGGTGGCACCCAGGAGCTGGAGGTCCAGGAGGTGGCCTGCACCCAGCAATGGCCATGACAGCTTGGAGTGACCTCGGCCTGACCCTCTTACCCAGCTTCGGCGGGTCACGCCGCACAGGAAGCCGGACCTCGTTCCGGTTGCCATCCTTGCCAGGCCCACTCTTGCTGGACCCCGGGAGCCGGCGGCCACCTCCCACACAGAAGGGGTCAGACATCACTGCAAGGCAAGTGCACGGCCCCAGGAGGCCCACCTGAGAGCCTGCCTGCACCCGCCCCCAGATGGCCTGCTCTGGGCCACGGGCCAGCAGGCGACCAGGCACTCTGGGCTCAGTGCTGGCCCAGCCGACGTCTCCCCAGGAGACCCCAGCAGCCTGGGAGAGTCTGACCCTGTCCCAGGACCCTTGCCAGTCTGATGGGCTCCTTCTGTCCTAGACACAGCGCCCGAGCGTGCGAATGGCTATACACCTCACCCCCGGGAGGGGACCGGAGGCTGAGGCAGAGGCCGGGTGCTGGGGCAGCAGGCCAACGGCACCCTCCCGGGAGCCAGGGATGACACCAGTGTGTCTGGTGGCGCACGGGCTGTCCCGGCCCAGCACCTGGGGATGCCTTACTTCTCAGCCCCAGCCGGACCCAAGGCAAGGCTACGCTGCTCAGGCGGTTACCCCGGACCCCTCTCCCCAGGACCGAGACGGAAGGCAGCCAACGTGCGCACTGAAGCCCTGAGTCCACGTCCCAGCTGCAGGGGACCCCTCCCGGGGCAGGGGGTGGGTGGAGGGCGAAGGGCGCCATGGTACCTGCTCTGGTCCCCATGCCTGTAGAGCCACCCTACCTGCTCTGTCTCTGTTTGTTCTGCCAGGGTCCCTCGGCCACGCTCTACCTGGCTGACTTCCTCACCTCCACCCTCCGTAGGTGACCTCTCTCTCCCCCCACCTACAGGGTCCGCAGCACCACTCCAGAGACCACCAGCCACAGGCCACAGGGAACACCCCGTCCCTGAGCAGGGCTCTGTGGGCATGAGAACTGGAGGGACTCAGAGCCCTGGCCTGCCCCGGGCGGGGGGAGGGGGGGGCAGGTTACCCCTCCCCGGCGGTGGTTTCCGGCTCACTTGGACAGGATAGGAGAGGGCTGCTGTGCCTACCGGGGAGCAGAAGCTATTGGGCAGGCTGAGGTCAGAGGTCAGGACAGTCGCTGCCTGTTGCCAAGGGTGTGCCTGGATCCTGGGCCTGAGGGTCTAAGCAAACTTCTCCACAAGTCCTCACACTGCAACTTCCAAAGGAGACAATGCCAAGATCAGTCACCCCGGCCCCACGGTGACCCCAAGTGTCCTGGGGGCTGGAAACTACCCCCCTTTTCAGTCTTTCTTCAGCTTGGGTGGAGAATTCAAAGTTGGGGGGCCTGGAGCCAGGGCTGGCCTGGGAGACAGAGACCCTCCTTCCATCCGGGGCCTGTGACTCTCGCAGCAGGAGGAAGAGCTTCCACTCTCAGGGAGGACCCAGCAAGGACGAAGAGGAGGGACCCTCGCGGGGGTTGGGGCGAGGTGGGCGCCGCGCTGACCACAGGCAGCGGGACCGCGGCAGGGCCAAGGCCGCTGGGCCCTGATCCCCCGCTCAGGTCCGGGCGCGCGGGTGAGGCCGGCCCGGGGATGCACACCTGGCGGCTGGCCTCGCCACCCACCTGTCACCTGCGGCCGGGGTGAGGCCCCGGCCTGGCCCCGGAAGGGCCGATCGCGGGCGCCAGGGGAGGGGGGACGAAGGCAGTGAACCAAAATGGCGACTTTTTCTGGAGAAGGAGGAGGCTGGAGCGCGGCGCCGGCGCGGGGCGCCGGGCGCGGCGCGGGGGGTCCGGGCGCGAGGGGGGGCGGCAGGCGGGGGCTTCGGCGCGGCGCCCCCCCGACCTGCGCGTGGGGTCAGGATCGAGGGCGCGGCCAGTGCGGGGGCGGCGCCGGGGTCTGGGCCGGGGGCGCGGCCGGGCGCTTACCTGCGGCGCCCAGCGGGCCGGAGGCGGGGCGGGGGCCGGGGCCCGGACTGGCCCGACAGGGGTGCGGGCGCGGGGTCCGGGCGGCGCAGGCTGCGCGCCGCGCTGCGCACATGCGCGCTCCCGCCCCTCCCACCTTTGACAGTTTTACTGTGGGGGGGGGCGGGGGGGACGAACTCTCGCGGTATTCCTGCTGCCGCTCCGCGCCGGGAGGGACGGGTCCCGGGGCTGGGGGCCTGGCGGGCCCGCGGGCTCGTGGGGCTGCGTGGTCCGACGGATCTGTCTGCCCGGGCTCCAGTGCAAAGTGGCCGGTTGTGCCGCCCAGAGGGCGGGAGACGTTATTTTCATACAGTGAGGTAAACTGAGGCACCATAAGGGCACAGGGTCCTGCCCCAAGCCCAGCGCGCTCGAACTGAAGCCGCCGGATGCCTCAGCGTCCTGGCCCTGGGAAGGGGGGCCACCCACCGTCCTCTGAGACCCTGAGCTCCTGGCAATGGGAGCCCTGGGCCTGCAAAGTAGGACTCGGCCTCTCTGCCAGCCAGCCTGGGGCCACCTCTTTCCGTGGCCAACCTCAGGGGATCGCTGGCTCCTGGCCTGTGAGGACTGCTCTCCACTGGGGTTACTGACGTTGATGGTACCAGCCTGTCTGCTTGGGGACCCGGTATTCCTAGGCTGTCCACCGCTTTGCTCCTCTGTGCCCCTGAACCTGGCCCCCTGCTGGAAGCTGCTGTCAGGTCTGGGGGTGATGGACAGCACCTCCACAGGAGGCACGGGAGTGAGGGGAAGAGGGCCCACTGGGAAACGAGTTATAAGGTACACCTCCTTCCCTGAAGCCCTGCCCACTCGGCCTTCACACTGCACAGCCCCACCGCACCCTGGAGCAGGCACTGCTTGGGGGCACAGCTCCAAAGATGGCGCATTTGGGATCTGATCTTGAAGGGCCCCTTGAAATCCGCTCTTTCAAGGCTAGCACAGGTGCTCACTTAGAAGCCAAGGCAAGGAGGGGGGGGGAGGACACCTGGTGGGGGGCCCGTCATTGGTAAGAGAGAGGCCCGTGTGACCCTGGGAGGAAGAGGGAAGGGCCTTCGTCCGGAGCACACCCAGAACTGTCAGCTGCCCCCGTGTCAGTCCGAACGCCTGTGGCTGGGATCTGCTGCTGCCGGCAGGTGTGGTCAGGGGCACGCTCTGCGGACAGCAGTGTCAGGGTGTCTGCCCTGTGCTGGGTGAGAACGTGCTTGTCTGTTTGTCTCCAGGGGCCTGGGCACAGGGCACGGGGCTCGTCTGGATCCAGCAGAGGTGTGCTCCAGCTGCAATGTGCCTGGAAGTCAGTGTCATGCAAGGTCATTGGGTCTCTGTTACTGCTTGTGTCTGTGGCTGTGAACACACCTATGTCAGGCCCCTGCCCGGTGGCAGACGACACGGGAGTCCCCAAAAGATGCCATAGCAAATGCCTGGAATGTGGGAATGAGACCCTGTTTGGGAAAAGGGTCTTTTTGAATATGATTAAGGGTCTTGAGACAAGATCCTCCTGCGTTATCCAGGTGGGCCCTAAATCCAGTGACAAATGTCCTGTAAGAGGGAGACCTGAGGCAGACAGAAGGCAGCCTGACAACTTTCCTGGACACAGTGGTGAGTCCGTGAACCCAGGCAGCCACCAGGGCCGGGAGCGGAGAGCGGGCAGGTGGCCAGACTTCAGACCTGTGGCCTGCAGAACCGGGGGAGGATTGGTTTCTGGGGGGTGAAGCCTCCCAGTTGTCACTTGGGGTGGCAGCCCCAGGCGCCTGTCACTCTGTGTTGGTGCAGTCCACAGGTCTGAGCCCAGCATCTGCTTCCACACACACACCCCCAGCCCCGCCCCCCACTCCTGGGTGAAACAGGTACCCTACCCTGCTAGGATGCGGCATCACTGCCCCCTGGTGGCCCCTGCAGGAGGCAGCTGGGCTTGGCACCCTTACCTCCCAGACTCAGGGCCCCTCCTCGCTGCTTGGCCTCTCCTGCAAGCCCGCTGACCAGAGCCAGACACCACCCTGGGGCACTTGAGAATCAGGTTTATTTCTGATCTTATCAGAATATAAAAAGTGAACACAAAACAAGGAGACAAAACAGGAGCTCTGTGTGGGAGCAGGGGCAAGACAAAGGAGGGAGGAGGGGGCAGAGAAGGAAGGGGCCCCTGGAAAGGGTGACATCATGATGGCACAAGGGGGGGGAACTCGGGGCAGCCAGACAGGACAAGTGGGCTTCCCGCAGGGCTCACTGGGGATGGGGGGCACCAGGCCACGTATCCAAATTCCACTCGGGACCCCAAACAGCCTACCTCCTGTGCTGGGGCCGGCTCAGGGCACAAAGAGGGGATGGGGCTCAGCCTCATCGGTCCCTGAGGTTTTCTGGGCCCCCCAGGGAGTGGCAGGAGGGGGAGCATGAGGGAGGAGATGCAGGACAGCCCTCCCCGTCCTCCTGCTGGGCTTGCACTGGCCGCTGCCTCAGGCCCTCGGGCCCCTGGAGAGGTGGTCAGCAGCCAGGGCTCTGGGGGCAGGCGTGGCCTGCCTGTGAGACCTGGGTTTTCCTGGGCAAGGGGCAGTGGGAGTGCCCGCCCACTGATGTGCCCCCAGGGTGGCCTCCATGAGCCCGAGAGGAGGGAAGGTCCCCAAACCTAGGGCCAGGACTCGGCCGGCCTGGCACTGAGTGCTGGGTCCCTACTGCACAGCGTTCGGTCTTGTGTGCTCAGGGCTGCCTCTCCTCGGTTCTGTGAACAGCTGCCGGCATGGTGAGCGTCCCAGGCCTAAGGACAGACGGTGCCGGGCAGGGTGCCTGGCTGGGCGGGTGCAGGGCCCAGGCAGGGAGTGGGCACCCAGCAAAGGGAGCTGGGCAGTTTACCCCACCTCTGTGGGCAGTCTCCGGTGGGCGGGGGGAGGGCATGGAACTGGACGGGTGGGCAGACAGACAGACCTCTGGCCCTGGGAGAGGACAGGATGCCCGAAGACAGGGGTGAAGGGAATATAAATACACACCCCTGGGAGTCGGGGGTGGGGAGCATCCAAACCCTGCTCTGGCTCCAGGTGGCTGCCCGGAACACTGCCAGCAGCACCCCGGGGTGGGCCGGAGGCCGGGTCCTGGAGGCAGGCCCACACTCCCAGAGCCTCCACTGCCCAACCCCTGGCACAACTGGGAGTGCACCACCAGAGGCGGCTGGAGCAGGCAAGCCTGGTCCCACCTGTTCACTGGGCCAGGCTCAGCCCCGGGCACCCCTTGAAGGTCTGAAAGGAGCTGTGCCTCGTCTTTGCCACGGGCTCTGGTCACAGTGCTGGGGTCTGGGGCTCCGGCCTCGGGCAGCACTAGGACATGTGTCCGAAGGAAGCTGCGGGTGGACAGGTGAGGAAGAACGGGGCCTCTGGCATCATCCAGACTGCCATGGGTGCGGGACAGCCCTTCCTGGGGTCCCATAGCCACCCCCCAAGGTCCACCTGCCCGCCTTGCAGTCGGAGGCCTTGCAGCCCAACTCCCCAGGCCTCTCCCAGCCTCTCAGGAGCTCCTGGCTGCTCTCACTGACCTTGGCTGAGCAGCTGCAGGCTCCGCCCCTCCTCGCGCACCTGCAGGCGCAGCACCTGCTGCAGCACCTCCTGCTGCTGGGCCTCCTGTGCCAGCCCCATGCGCTGCAGCTTCTCCGAGTTCAGCCGTAGCAGTGCCCGGCCTGGAGTGAGGGGAGAGGGGTTGAGCCGAGGTCACCCTTTGACGGGCATCAGGGGCCAAAGCAGAGGGAGGGAGAGAGCAAAGTGGGGGGGCGGCACAGAGGCTGAGACAGAGAGAAAGCGGAGGGAGAGAGAGAGATGGATTCAGAGAGATGAGGGGAGTCAGGAAGAGACAAGGATGGACGGAGACCAAGCCAGGAGAAGCCAGACAAAAATAAGCAGAGCCTACTGAGGCCCGGCCAGGAGGAGAGTCGGGGAGGGAAGCTAGAGAGGACAGGGGCTCCCCCCGGGGCCCCCACCCCCGGCCCACGGCACCGGTGATGGCGTGCTGGGAGAAGGCCTCCACGTAGACGAGGTAGTTGTGGGGACAGTGCTTCTTGAGCCACTTGCAGACGTCCTGCTGGCTCCACAGGACCACAGGCCTCGTCAGGCCCCCCAGCGAGGGACTCGTGTGGTACAGGCCACAGCGGTCGGAGGATGGCCGGCCCTGCGGGGGGAGGGTGGCAGATGCAGTGAGGGGTGGGGCGGGCAGGGGCCCAGCTGGGCATGGTGGCTGGGTACCTGGGCAGCCTCGGTGCCAGGCTGCTGCAGGAGCTTGACCGGCCGGCCGCCAGCTGCCCTCTGGCTGCGGGAGTCATGCCAGGTGAGGCTGGTGCCTGGGGTCCTGGGCAGGTGGCAGGGGATGCTCTCCGCCGACACTGTGTGTTCCAGGAGGGTGCGGCAGAAGCTGAAGTGGGCAGTGGCTGTGGAGCAGGAGTGCCCCGTCAGAGTGGTCAGGGGCAAGGTCAGAGGCTCCTCTCCCTGCTCAGCCCATCTCCTCTCCACTGAGGACAGAGCCTCTTCCCCAGCTAGTGGCTCCCGAGTCCCTACAGGCAGCAGGAAGCAGCAAGCGCCGTCTTCAGCTCAAAGACACAGAATGAATACCTTCCCCTCTGAGTCCGACGCCCACGTTCCAGGGGCCTGGATGGACTGTGCTGAGACTTGAGAGCGGATGTGCTCACCAGGGAGGCAAGACTTACAGTTGGGGCCGTATTATCCTGGGCCTGCCCTGCCCTCGCCGTTGCCTCGGGCTGGGTGCCCTTGCCGCACCAAACCAGGGAGCATACACGGGACCTACCTGCAAGGTCCTGTGTGCCACGGAGGCCCCAGGGCACCCTGCCTGCCCACCCTCATAGACAGAGCCCAATCCAGCCAGACAGAGCTGAGGCTTGGCCTTGCCCAGCTGTGCTCACTGGGTGTGACAGAAGCCTGAACTCAGGACCACCAACACCTGGGATTCCTGCCCCCCACCTCCCACAGGGCGTCCAGGATGGTCCCTGTCCAGCTCAGGACAGGTGCTCCAGGACCCACTGCGGTGCCCAGAGCTCTCTCTCCGCCCACACCAACTTCATCACGCTCATCAAGTTTTGGGTGGCGGAAGGCTCTGTGTGATGCCCACGAGTCAGCAGAGCCCTGGGCACAGACTGGAAGCTGGGCCCAGGCTTGCCCCCATCTTTACAGCATCCAGGCCCTGACTCAGCAGCCAGGATCAGATTCCCAGGCCAGGTATCCCCCCTACCCCAGGAAAATGAGACCCTCTCTGCCATTCTCTAAAGAGGGTAGGGCCAGCCCTGTGCCCTGGTCTCAGCGATGGGGGAAACCCGCATCTTACTCCACCTTCCACCCCCTGAGTCATTCGACTCAGTATCTCCTTCCCATTCTCCCAATTCTCCTTTATCAGATGACCCTGGATGACTCCCAATTTGAGGTCTGGGGTCAGAGTATGGCCGCCGCCTTGAGGTGGCTTCTAGTACCGTGGGAAAGACTTATTCTAAGCCGGCACCTTTCAGGGAACAGGCACCTGGGTCGTTTGGCTCGCTCAGCGGGGCTCGGCCTGGGCGAGAGCGCGCCGCTCCGGGAAAACCAGTTGGACACCTCCGCCAGCGCCGCACCTGTCCGGAGCCAGCTGGGTCCCGCCCATTTCCGGCCCGCGCTTGGGGTGGGATCTCCGTCCAGACGCCAGTCCTTCCCTCCTCCTAGCCCCAAAGTCAGAATTCCAGTAGAAAATGGGGAGGGGGCGGCCGGGGGCGGTCGAGGCCGGCTCTAGTTTCGGGCCCCCTCTCGGCCCCAACGGAAAGGCTGGGGAGGGATTTTTTCCGAGCGAAGAAATAGGTGACCGCACGGTGGTGCCAGCCCGGGGATGGGAGCGCTTGGTCGGTCACCTCCCCCAAGCCAAGGGTGCCTTCATCCCCAAGGCCTGAGGCCGCGCTACCCACTGCCCCCAGTGCAGGACAAAGACACCAGGAACCCGCCTCGGCCGGGGCGCGCCCCCCACTCGGCCTGCCGCTGCCGCCGCCGCCGCCCGAAGTCCGCCAGGTCCCGCCCCCCCCCCCGTCCCTCTCGGTCCCCAAGCCCCCAGCCCGCGATATCCCCACGCTCGAGTCCAGCCCCGCTCACCGTCCACATCTCGGCGCTCCCCAAAGCCGGCGCGTACAGCCCCGGCGCGGCCTCGCGGGGGGCTCAGCTTGGTCCTCAGCTCCGTGAACATGGGGCCCGCGCACACGCCCCTCGCCGGGCGCAGGGCGGCCCTTGTGGCCGGCGGGGAACGCGCGCCACCGCCCCGCCCCACCCGGCCCCGCGCCCGAGCCGGTCCCCGCGCCCGGCGAGTCTGCGCGGCGAGGCACCTGCCGCGGAGCCCTGAGTGCCGGGCGCGCTCCGGGAGCTTGGAGGTGTGTCGGCGGCGCGCTGGTCGGCGTCTGTAAAGGGCGCCTGCGGGGGCGAGGGGCAACCCTGCGCACCTGGGCACAGCTCCAAGGACGAGTGACTGCACCGACAGGGGTCCAGGCGTCCGCAGGTGCCTCAGAGTCAGGGAAGTAAGGACACATTGGTCTCCTCTGTGTATGTGCGTGTGTGTGTTTGTGTTGGGTGGGGGGACCCTGCCTGCTCCTGCCACCTTCTGACCCCTGGGGCCCAGGTCAAGGGTCAAACCGACCTCTTCCAACCACTTCCCTTCTCTCCTACCTCAATTTGCTCAATTCTCCAGATTTTTCCATAGGTGTCTCCCTCAAGGGGGCACTTGCCTCCCGGAAGTCGGTTTGACCCCCTCTAGCCCCACCTCGCCGTGAACTCCAGGGGTAGCGCCAGGGTCTGTCCCCTCCCCTCGGTAGCCCCCGTGTCTGACTCTGCGCCCAAGACTTGCATTGAAAGGGGCTTGATTGGGCACGGGGAAGAGAGAGAGGCTTTAAGAGGCTGCATGCAGCAGGCAGTAGGGATGTGTTTACACCCGAACACCGGGGAGAAGGGCTGGGGTGGGCCTGGGGGCTGCCCGGTCCAGCCGAAGGCCAAACTGGCCGAGTGGTGCTGGCTCTGCCCGGAGCCTGTGTGCTCCCTCCAGGTTCACGTGGGGGCCCCGTGGTGTCCCACAGCAGAGTGAGCAAAGGCACGCGTGGCCGTGCAGAACTATACAGAGGACAGTTATGCCTGTTCGCCCAAAACCAGAGCACAATGATCACCTGCATGCGTGCTCACCAACACACACGGGGAGGCTTGCACGGAGTCTGCCCGTGTGCTGTGGTCGCCCCCACCACGAGCTGACTTGCTCCAGACACATCTGTGGCATTTATTTATTGTCCTCAATCAGCTCTGCAGCTCCCGCCCTCACTGCAGTGCTAAGGGCACGACGGGTGGGTGGGGCCTGTGTGAGCATCTGAGCGCTGAGAGCCAGGGCAGCAGTCCTCTCACCGGAGACCCGCAGGCGGGGCGCCCACAGTCACGACCCCCCCCCCCCCCCCAGCAAAAGCTCTGCACAGCGAGGGGGCGGTGCAGCCCCACTCGGGCGTTAGGGTCCGACTGGGCCGGGGCGACTCGTTAAGGCAGAGCAGCCAGCGGGGCTGGGAGAAGCAGGTGTCCCTGAAAAGCATCGAGAACAAGCAGGCAGCGGGGACGCCCGGGCTCGGTTTCGAGGTCCGGCAGGGATCGCCCAGGACGCAGTAGTCCCGGTCCCTTCCAGCAGCTCGCCCGACCTCCGTGCCACCAGTAGGCGCTGTGGCTCTAGCGCTTGCTTTGTTTCCGCCCCTTAGCCGCGACCGGAAGTACGTTACGGAACTTCCGCAGGAATTCTGAGGTAGGCGGGGCCTCGTGCAGACCTCGGGCTCTGCTTCCGGGGCGCGAGTGACGGCGGACCAGCGACTTCTCTCTGCTGCGAAACTCCGGGTTTCTGTGGTCCTCAGCCTCCGGCCGTGGCCTCCGCCTCTTCCCTTCCCAGCCTTCGTCCCCGCCGGCGCCATGAACAAGAAGAAAAAGCCGTTCCTGGGCATGCCCGCGCCGCTCGGCTACGTGCCGGGGCTGGGCCGAGGGTGAGTCCAGCGGCGGGCGCGGGAGGGGCGGGGGCGGGCGGAGCTGGCCCCTAGGAACCTGGGCCCTGCGGTGCGCGCTTAGGGAAGGGGCAGGGCGCCGGCCCGGACCACACCATCCAAACTACCCGACGCGAGTGTGACAGATGAGGGCTACAGCCATTGCGTCTGCAAGATGCAAAGCCGTTTAGTTCAGTGTTTGCAGGAAGGGTTGTCCTTCGTGGTTAGTTTCCACCCGGTGCAGGTTCCACCTGCCGCCTGGGCGCGGGGGGCGGGGGGCAGGGCCTCGGCCTCCCGGCGCGGTGGTCGGTGCCGGTGGTTTGGTGTCTGCTGCGGGAGCATCCCAGGCCAGGAGGCCCCCGCCCCCGTCCTGCCACGGGCTTGATCGGTCCGTTTCCTTAATTCTTCTCTGTAGCAGCTTGTAGGGTCTCACTCTGTTTTCGTGCTGTCGGTGGTCTTACCCTGCTTGTTCAAACCGTCAGCTCCGGTGGGTCGTGCGCCGTCCCAGCCCCGTAGACGACTGCCATGAACTATTGAATAAGCGAGCAGTCCATACCATCCCGTTTGTTTGGTTACTCACGTGATAAGGGAAACTACTGGGTTTCTGTCCTTGGGGGTCTTGTGTTAGAAGCTATGCGGTGCACGTGGGTCTCTTGTTGGAAACTGTCTTCGGAGGACCTGCAGTTGGCTAGGAGCGATGAGGAGAGTGCAGGAGCAGCCTCACAACGGGGAGCAGGTTCAGAAACGTGGGAGCTGGCAGGCTGTGGGGCACTCTGTGGGGTGCTAGCATTCGGGCCGTGTTTAGGGATGCAGGAATGGGCAGGGTTAGGGAGTAGCAAGGAGCCTGTGAGCAGGACACCCGGTGGTGACAGGAGTGGAGTTCCTGGAACCCTTGGAGAGGCAGAGCCTCAGAGCTGTGGGCCAGCAGGGGAGGCTGGTGTCCAGGGTGGCTCCACTGGCCAGTGGATGGGAGCCATGGTCTGGGCAGGAGGGTTCAAGAGGTTGGTGAGAGATGGGATGGGGAAGGAGGGTGAGGGAGGCCAAGCTGATGCCACCGTGTCTGCTTGGGTTGCCATCAGCAGTAAGAGCCCAGATCAGCTGCGGGAGGGCCCGGATGAGGAACCCGGATGGGGTCAAGTTGGGTTTGAGGGCCTGGTTAGATGGGAGGTTGTTGGGGGTGGGGGCTGGGACTTGGAAGGAGGGCGGTCTAATGCCCTGGGGAGTGTGGCAGCAAAAGCAAGCCTGAGTAAGCCCTCAGGGAGGGTCAGAAGGTGTCCCCTTGAAGAGAAGAGGCTGGAAATGCTGGCGAGCAGGGCCACAGGTGGTTCGCTGCCACCAGCATCTGTGGGGACATTGGGGAAAGGTGTCATTAGTGACGGGTGTGGAGGGAAGAACATAGATCTAGGTTACCCGGGTAACCAGCCTCTCGGGGTCTCCTGCAGTGCCACCGGCTTCACCACACGGTCGGACATTGGGCCTGCCCGGGATGCCAATGATCCTGTGGATGACCGACATGCACCCCCAGGCAAGAGGACTGTTGGGGACCAGATGAAGAAGAGCCAGGCTGCAGACGATGATGACGAGGACCTGAATGACACCAACTATGATGAGGTGACTTGGGGGCCTGGCCCGTCTGCAGGGGCCGGGCGGCCCTCAGCCTGCAGGCTGTCACAGCAGGCGGTGTGGGAGGTTGGCACAGCTCCCGTCACAGCTGCCCCTGGGGTTTCCACAGCTGAGTGACGGAGGGGAGCGGGGCAGACGTCAGGAAATGTGCACCTGGTCATCTCTGCGGACAGGTGTTTGTGTGGCTGTTGCAACCCTGCTCTGTGTTTTGTCTCAGCCCCTGGGGAAAAAGATGTTTCAAGTTACAAGAACAAGTTTAATTTGAAAGTTACAGAGGGGCATTTGAGGTCTTGCTCCCTGGCACGAGTCTTCAGTTTGACTCAAGTAAACTCACAAAAATAAAAGAAGTTAGGCTCTGGCTGGTGTAGCTCAGTGGATTGAGCACAGGATCTGTGAACCAAAAGATCACGGTTCAATTCCCAGTCAGGGCACATGCCTGGGTTGCAGGCCAGTTCCCAGCAGGGGCCAGTTCCCAGCCAGCAGGGGTTGCATGAGAAGCAACCATACATTGATATTTCTTTCCCTCTCTCGTTCCCTTCCCTTCCCTTCTAAAGGTAAATAAATAAAATCTAAAAAGTAAAAATAAGTAAATAAATAAAAGAAGTTAAAGAGGCCATAGAAGGGAGCCAGCTGGCGGCCGCTGGTGTGTTGTCAGGCGTTTTTCCTTGAAGGAGAAGAGTTTAAAAATTCTGTTCTGAAGCAACCACGTTTGCAGGGAACTTCTAAGGGTGTAGGGAGAATGCCTGCATTGCCGTCACAGGCCTCTCCCCGTCCCGTGTGACCTTAGTGCAGTTTTCACCGGGAGGGGCATGCTGACCCGTTGGTACCGAGCCCGCAGCTGCGGCTGGCTCCCACCAGTGACCCACCTGTGTCCTCAGCCTGGCCTAGGCCCAGCCCAGCCCCCTCATTGCCTTTGGCTCCTTAGTCTGCTCTGGAGGGGTAGCTCCTCCGTGCCCTGCCCTCGACAGCAGTTTTGTTGTTCCTGGAGTTGGGTTTGTCTCCGGCAACAATCCAGCTGAGCAGGTGCTGCGGCTGGCGGTGCCTGGGCCTGCTGGTGGGAGCAGGAGCTGAGCCTGCCCTGTGCTTGGTCCCCAGTTCAACGGCTACGCGGGGAGCCTCTTCTCAAGCGGGCCCTACGAGAAGGATGATGAGGAGGCGGACGCCATCTACGCGGCTCTGGATAAAAGGATGGATGAAAGGAGGAAGGAACGGAGGTAAAAGCAGCCTCTGCCCCTCACGGTTTCTGTCCGACTTCCAAGACCGGCTTTGTTTTGACGTTTGTGCTCCACAAGTGGAGGACAGTCGCAGAGCAGCACGTGTGTCTGCACCCCCTCAAGGCCCCTGGGCCTGGTCTGTGCTGGGTGGACACTGGGCAGGAGCTTCGGGAGCTAAGGGGCCTGGCAGACTTGGGGGGTCATCCTGACTACGTGCCAGGGTTCCCATCTTTGGGATGGCGGTGGTGGTGTTGGTCGACATATTTTGGGGGATTTGGAAGTTATCTTTGTAAGTTTTTAATACTTTTTACGTTAAAGAGTGCGTTCTCATGGAGCATTGGAGCAACGAGACTGAGCGGGGGTGGGGTAAGAGGGTGGCGCGCTCACAGGCCCAGGTGGTGACAGCTGATGCTTCAGTTTGCCTCCCCCTCCTCTTGCCTGTCACACACACATGCTGTGACTTCCCGTGGCACTGGCACTTGTAGTGTTTCCGGGATC